GAATAGTAGAGTTAAACCTTAATATAAAGAAATATATATTTATAGTAACTAAGGTAAAGTACCTTAGGTTTATAGTATATATAGAAAAGGAGGTATAACTTAACTTAGAGAAGGTAGCTATAATTTATAACTAGAAGCTCTTAATATAAGTCTAAGGCATTTATAAATTTATAGACTTTATAAACTTTTATTATAAGTTTATTCTAAGGTTCTTCTAGCTAGTTAAACTACTACTAGAGTTAATAAAGAAAGAAGTTCTTTTTTATTAGACTTTCTAGAAGAATAAAGCCTTCTAGAAGCTAAAGACTATTTTTATAATATACTTAGTGCTTTACTAGTAGAATTTTAATAAGAATATAGTAGTAGAAATAGACTGCTTAGAAGACACTATTAGTAGCTACTTATCTTAGTATATCTACAGCATTCTCTACTTAATAGCTTACTACTCTATATAACTTTAGGCAGCAGAATACAACTATATAATTTATAATAAGAAATTACTAGCTATAGTTACTTATTTAAAGGTATAGTTAGTAGAGCTCTAGAGTATAGTTAGGCTGTTTATAATACTTATAAATTATAAAAACTTAGAGTATTTTATAGCACTAAGAGAGATATTAAAACAGCAGGCTTAATAAATAGAAATACTATTATTATTTAATTTCTTTCTGTAATACTACTTAAGTCTATAAGTAGTAAGGCTTAATGCTTTATTACAGTAGAACTAGAATAAGAATTTACTACTTTTATATTTTAAGCGTATTATATAACTATTAAAGGTAGTAAGTATATTATTATACTTAGCAAATACTATAAAGGCAGCTCTTTATACTAACTCTAAGCTAGAACTTAATTAGTATAATACGTTTTAAGATAAGTAGCTCTAAGGTCTCTAGGAAATAGAGATAGCTTAAAATGCTACTTTTTAGTATTATATTAAAGCAGTATAAAATAGCGTAAGAAAGTTTCCTCTAAAGGTAAATATATAGAAATAAATATCTAACTATATAATAAGTATATATAGAAAACTATAGTATTAAGGTTAGTTATAAGTGCTAAAGTAGAAACTCTTAATAATAGCTTTAACTTAATATATATATAAATTGCTGCTATTTAGCTACTTAGAATATAATACTATATTTAATATTTTATATAAAGACTTTTATTAAAATAAAATAATAAAGAATATTATATAGTTTATATATAACTACTACTATTATAGTAGCTATAAGAGCTAACAGCTTTATTAAAGACTACTATAACTTCTTTCTATTACTAATTAGTATTAAACCTAGATCTTTATTAACTTTATAATAAA